TTTGTTCATCGAATCTACACCTAATACATGCAATAGGAATGAATCATCACTCATACCTGAAATATGGAAAATACTACTACCAATCAAATCAAGTGAAAAACAATGGAACTATATAAATGAATTTAGGAAGTCGTGTGATTACCTTGATATGAATACGATCAATAAATTGTGCTCGAAACGTCATCAGTAAACATTACTGTACAACACTGTGTGATTTATCAAAATAAAATCTTATCCATAATGCAGTTATACTCTACCACAGTGCCCAAGTTTTATTCTTATGTCACTGGAGTAGCTTTGATATTTTCCCCATATTTCAGCGCTTCCGAGACCCTAGCTTTTGCGACATATGTATATACTTTTTAAAATAAGCGATTTTGCGAACGTTTACATCACTTTCCATTTTCTTCTCTTTCACTTTGTTTCTTTACTACGCTGGTATATTTATTGTCCCTAGTGTTGATTGATGCTCACTGACGAAGTGGATGCCTGAAGCTTTGGGTTAATACGCTACTTAGACCTACTGAGCCACACTCCTATCTCGGCCTGAGCACAGGATTGATATCATCAACTTCAAGCATAATCAGCGTGTGGTTCGTAGCCCCTACTTATACAGAGTTCAAAATATGTCAAGATGTAGTAAAAGAAATCATCAAAATAAAAAATTATTAGAAGATTGATATATATAAAAAAATTAATAACTTCAAACCCTGTCCAACCACACTATGATAACCAGCATCTTTCTTCATGTTCTGCTTTACTTAATACATCATTTACACATCATTCATCCATCCCCTTAACCTTTCTTTTTATGTTTAGTGCTCAAAACTTTTTTTGCTTCTTCTCTTACTGCATACCTCTTATGTTCTTGGATAGAAGGTTATCGGTTTCCTCACCAACCTTTCAAGGGGGGATAACCTGTAGTGTACATTGGACCTCTGAACTTTTGTTTCAACTCACTCACCCATCTTTTTGGCGCCACTCCACTCCACTCCGCTGCACTCCACTTCGATGCACTTCACTTCACTGCGCTTCGCTTCCTGCCTAGGTAAAAGAAGTTGGTCTTTTTGTAAGTGTGACAGGCAAACTCACCTAAGGATAAAGTCGCGCACTTACGGCGGACTTGGGAGGATAAAGAGTCTTTCGTGCTTTTGAAATTCTCAGTAATTTCAAAGGGTAGTAAAGGAACGAAAAGTCCCTCTACTCAATAAAGTCTCGTCCACTTCCCCTTTATTGGTCAGTTTTTATGCATTTGCTGACTGGATAGGATTCACAGTAATCAGTTTTTCAAGGATCAAGAGCATGGCTGCTAGATAAGGTGTGATTTTCAACAACTGTATTACCTTCATATCATCGTCAATAAATATATCCTTGAACAGCCATAAAGGTTATATTCTCCCTTTTCAATGTGAGCGGTGTTAGGAGCAGTCTGACCACCAGCTTAGGTGGACGGGACTAAATAGTCAGCAGGTAGTGTATCCAGAGCTCAGATCCACCTGGCAGCATATCAATCTTGGGCGTTATTTTTAGTTGAAGCCTATCGGAAACGAACTTGAAGTCAACAAAGCGGAGTAACTTTCCGTTTTACTGAAAGCTGTCGTAGATGGGGCTTTCAGACTGTGCACCTTTCCATATTTCGCCACCTACTCTTTGACAAAAGTTTTGAACATTGTTGCAGCGGATAAGTGTACCGCCTGAAGTGCTACAGCGCAGCAAGTGAATCTGTCGAGGAGAGTGAAAAGCATCTGAAGAAGGCATTGGACCGATGACATTGTAGCGGTAAATAATTCCACAAAATTATTGACCACAGCACTCATCAATGAACATTGGAAGCTGACCCTCACTGTTTAAGTCAACTTGTTTAGCTGAAGGCTTCCGGTCAAGAATCCACACAATTCGGTACTCCGTTGTGTCACGGCCGTGTATGGTCACTAGCCAGTTAAGCATCCATCTCGCACTCCAGTTTGGTCACAGAATATATGTTGTAATTTGGACGATCAAGTAGTGTCTTTTGCTTTGCCTTTGGTCTACGAGGAACGAATACTATAGAAGTTGTGGGTATTAGATCTTGCGTTGGCATACGTCGTACTATCCGTGAACGTCAATACCGCCAGCCTCTGAAACATCTATAGTTACATGGCTGAATCTTAAGTCGAAGATAGGCGTGTTGATTAATCTCGACTCTTTGTCGATACAAACAATACAAACAAATGATTTAGCGTCGTTACTGATGTTAAGCGAAATTAATCCCCGCTTAAGTAACTCTGTAGTGGCATTGACTACGGGATGCTATAGATCGCGCAATTTAAAGAAAACTGCGAGCCTCATAGCTGCTGGATAAAGGGTCGACATTCACCAGTAGATGTATCACAAATGATTTTCTCTGTGCCAAAAGGAATTCCGCTGAATTCTAAGGATATCACTTTATAAAACATAAGCTTGGTTCAGAGTCATCTTTTTGTAAGGTTGAAAAGTGTTCTTGATCGAAATTAGCACGTTCAATGTTTTTAATATGTATGCGTGAAGAAGTCTCCGCAAAGTTGCTATTGTTACCCTTTGCGCGTCAAATTCTGTTAGTAAGTTGGGATCTGAATGCTAAATAACATAATTCTTGAGGTCAATAAGCGCCTGGTTTACTTAATCTGATGATCACTGGAGACTGTAAGAGCACCTCAGGCCTCCATCATTCTAAATGGCACTGCTTGAACTTTGTTTTATGAGACTATCTCACGATAAGATATTTCTCTCTCCGTATACGTTTAGTCTCGCGAAGACAACCGTACTGTCAATATCTTGTGAGGCGGTGAATATCTTGAATGCTGACAGTTGGGTTCTGAGCTGAATAAAGAGCTTCAACAGCGAATCCCCATTTCATTCACTTCTTCGAAGTCTCTTCGCGACTTCCCAAAGATTTCCATTTCCTTCATATATAGATTTCCTCATCTTACTCTTGAACTCCTATTTTTACAGATACAATCAGTTATGCTATAAATTGCCACTGCGAATTAGCACAGATTAGCACCTTTTCAAAAGTCCATACTGTTGAATTATAGTGAAAGCAATAAGAACAGATTCCCTTAATTGTTGCATTGTAGACCCTTCACTAAGGTCACCATCAAAGTTGAGCGCCAACCCAAACTTCGTTCCATTACCTGCTGATAGTTGTGGTCAACCAGTGAACAGCTTATATTTCGGTAGGTGCTATGCCCACATGATTAAAAGCTATTTCCGGAAGAGAGGAACGTTCTAGGAAGCTTCAAAATGGCACATAATGCAATTGTGGATAATACGTCACTGGAAGTACATTCACAAGAAATATACTAGGAGCTATTGAGTCCTTGGAATGAGAGTACCCATTTTAAATGTATTATGCTAACCATATCGGTCTCACTATGGAAACCATGATATTTGCGATGAAAATATAGCTTTGCTCGAACATTAGTGTTGTTGTGTTTTCCCCCATCCAAGCAGCGAGACTTTAAGCGAGCGAAGAATATGAATAAAAAAGTAGGTTTTAGCCTTAATAAAGGCCTAGGTGGCTAAGATGAAATAAAGTATGATAGTACTTAGATAAAGAATTATCGTGAGGTGTTTAAGCGATATCTCAGCGAGATCTGAGGGACATACTGACGCGTAAGATGTTTCATGAGTTTCTATAGGTTAGCACCTTAACAAGAAGCGGAGCAGGCTCTTAGATGTTAGGAGCCATAGCATTTTTAATATTTAGATTTATACAATCATTATTACTTTCGTCTCCATATGTCATGTTAAGGATCTAAACTGATGTTTAATTCTCGAGCTGTCAAAATTGCATGCTGCTGTCCTACGGATTGGGGGAATTACATTTGTGGCCACCACCATGTCTGCTGACGGGCCTGAGATACAGTTCACTGAGCGTCTTGTAAAAGCACCTATGTTCTTCGGTTCACAAATTAAGTGGAATAATATAGGGAAAGAATGTATGACAGATGTTTGTTTCCTCTGAAAAAACATAGAATGTTTTCTTTCGAAAGTATTATGTCACATTTTAGTTAAGTGTAATATTTCGAAAACTGGGACCATAATCTGAAATAAATAGTTCGATATCGCGATAAATGACGAGGTGTATTATAAAGAACGGCACAACACCTTGGCACCGATGATTTATTGAAAGTGTTACTAGCGAACCATCCCCTGTTCTTATAACACAACAGTATAGCATGAACACACTAGCTGTCACTAAAGATGAAGTGTTTTTTCTGCGGAGCAGTCACTTTCGTAGATAAACAATGTTAGCTGAGAAGCCATTCGTTGAGAGAAGAGTGAGAGGCAGTTGAACCAAATCCTAGCATCAACCCATGAACTCCTTACCACTTGGTTTGGAGACAATGTCTCCAAGTGCAATATAATAATATATATTTATTACTGTTTATGCAGGAACATACCAATTGTACAGGCATGGATAAGTTATTAGATAAATTACATATATTTCAATGTATGCTGAATTTACAGTTTGGTTGTTCTTTCTGACATTAGAGTCAGTCAGAACAGTCTGATAAACAGCCTGTCTGTGTAACACATAAAGAGATATAGAAATATTGTCTTCGCATTAACAAAAAACCCAGACATCAGATAAATGTAATACAAATATCTGGGTAAAATAAAGCTTGAAGTCAATAACTTTGTTGTAAACAGCATCCTTGGCTTAATGTTCATTGATGTATTGATGAATCATCTGCTGCCGAAAATTGCAGACGCCCTACTGATCATTGTTCTGAGTCTCTGAGTGTGGTGTATATTGATTTTTTGTTGCCTTCACCTCATGAATTCGTACTTCGCTAGTTCTAAATAAAACTACCAAGGGAAAAGCAACAGGACTACACTACAGTAAAAAATTGAATCTCGTTGAAAATTACTATTTATTCAATTTGCTTTCACTCAGTTTTGTTTTACTGCTTGAAGTGTTGTCGAAATCATATTAAAGCAACAGGCGGAATTTCAATACTTCTTCAATTCAAGGTATGATTTTGACCAGTATTACGAAATACACACCTGTTATTTTAACTTTTCTACATCTTTTGAGCTCCTTTGTTAACTCTGCATCAGAAATCAATTCACAGAAGGAGCTAGTAGAAAACCTAAAAAGCAAGTTCTTGATATATTTTTGGTTAACATTTTGCTGCAGAACATGGAGTGGTTACATCAGTGGATATAGCAAGAGTAATGTCAGATGTTGATCGCAAATTTTTCATCCATGAGAACCCGTATGCGTATCGTTCGCATAAAATTTCACATGGTGGTACGATAAGCGCACCACAAGTGGTAGGTTTACAAATTTGTGAATTTAATCCCTCGAATTCTAAGCTATCACCATAATGTAAGATTATAATAAAGGCGTGAAATACAGCTTACAAAAAACAAGATGTATGTGGTTCAATATAAAAGTCAGAATTCTTTCATACGTATGTAATTTCTTAAGTTTTAGTAATATTTACTCCACACAGTTACGTAGTCTTAAAACACTGGGAAACGGAATATATCTTATTACGTTGGTTGAGACTAGGATACTTATGTAGTCTACTCTTTACCTTCACCACTGCAACGTTTTGTTCGACATATGTTTTATTTCAGAAAATTCACTGTCTTTAAATAATATTTATGCTGTAAACGGAATTCGCTGTAATTTTTCTCGTAAACTTTCGGAGTGAATTACTTTTCCTAGCTTGATTTAAACGTTTTAAAACGTTTAGACACAAAATTGATATACACACCCCTAGTTAAACTTACCAGATTTCAGATTTTAGGATGAAAATGGAAATTGGGGCCTTTGCAAACTCTTTCCTTCTTAGTATCTATGCATGTTTAGCTCTTTCCTGGACGCAAACAACACTTCTGAAAGCCAGTTTGGAGTGTTGGTGACTCGGATAGAGGACCAGTACTCTATATATCATGCTATTTTCAAATTCAAAATATCTTCATTTCTTCTGGTCCATGAACAAACCTAATGGTGTGAATCAGAAATGTTTTTCTTCATCGTAGATTTCAAGAAACTTTCTGATAACTGATAAAAATAGGATCTGATAAAGGTTTACGATTTTACTCTAACTAGGGAGTAAAACCTTTACATATAATAATTATGATGCTTAAATTCTCCACGCAAACCAACAAAATATTAAAAAATCAGGTGAAAAATCTTGTTATCTATCGGAACCTAGGTATCCTGTATTACGAGTTAATATGCTGGAAAAGATTATTGTTTTTCTTTTGTACAATTGAAGAAACCTGGATTGCCATTCACACCATAAGTAGTTATTGTATTTCCTTTTGTGCACTTACTGTACATAAAATAAGCTTCTAACGAATCCTAATTACATTTGTGTGGCGTAGCTATCATTTGTTGATGTATCCTATAAGTGATGCATTGCTGTGATTCATTGGAAATATCTCTAGGTTGTCACAACGCAAATTTATGTACTACTTTGTTTAGGCTGTTCTTTTTATCATATTTTGACGCTTCAGAATCTTGCTGCGGATTTTTATACCTTTTTATTATGCAGGATGGACATATTTTGGAAGGACTAAGGCCAGGTCTTACGAAAGGTGCAAGAGTTTTATGTGTTGGTTGCACCGGTGGATACCTATTGGCATGTATGTCGATTTTAGTAAGTCTTTTTTATTACAGTAAGATATTAATGATCTTTTTCAAGTGATTAAATTCTTGTATTCTGAAATAACCCGATCTGAGTTTATTTAGTTCTCATCATTAATTTCATTACTTCACTAACCTGTTATTATTATCCTAATATTTATTTGAACATTCTGAATGTTGTGCAGTAAACATACCCACATAGAGAAAAATGACAGGTCTGTCTTTTTGTAATCAGCAGCACTGAATGTTCTTCTGAGTAAAAAGACATCACTGCCAAATGTAAAAGCATCTATTTTGATAACAAGCTGCATAGGAAGACTGTTGGCCATGGTTAATACCATAAGTTTTTTGCGAGTTGTGTTAAAATTAGTCTGATCAAAGAGACCAATCCATATAAAGTAAAACTGACTGAGTATTTTACACCGGTTGTTTAAAGTGTAATGTGAAATAAAATGCTGATTTTATTTGATTCACCTTATTATACTTTTGAAATGGAGAGTTGTTTTGCTGTACTATCTAGTTGAGTTAATTCCATTATTTATGAGGTAATGTTACTGTAATGAAGTGAAGTATCTTCAGGTTTTGGTTGTCACATACTTTTGAGATATGGGTAAGCGGAACAGACGATAACATTGGGCTAATATCTCACTTCACTCGCTTTAGCCTTACTTACCTGCCTTAACAGTTCTCATTGGCTGACTGCCAAAAGGCCTGTTCAAGAGTTCTTATCTGGTGATATTCGCAGACTAAATGCGACACTCACCAAGTGAAATATGCCTTGTTCAGAGGTTAACTCTATCGTATCTTATAACTGTGATGCATTCTCGCCGAAAGGTGCAGTAACATCTTAAATAACAATGAAAGTAGAAGTAGTACCAGGTACGAAAGAAAGAGTGTTGATGGGATTATGAAGCTAAGACTAGACTAGGTTAAAAGAGAGCTTGAAGTGTTCATGTCTTCAGCTGTTGGTGTGAGTCACATAAGCAGGTGAAGACAACCTTACTGAGGCACTTGAAGTGACAAGGATCATTGTTTACAGTCCTTTGGTGATATGACTGAAAAACAACCACAATTTCTAAGCTGAACTCTTGTCATCTAGGTTCCAAAACTCTTTACAGTATTATATATTGGTTAGTTTATAAGCAAAGAAGAACTGTCTTTGCATAAACACAGTTTTGTAGTATACTTTGACTTTCAAAAAATGCTACATCTCTGTATACCGCGGCGATGAATTAGTGGACTAAAGAATTCGCTTTGTCACGTTTTATTACCTTTGGGCAGTAAATATGCACAACTTTTAATTAGTCAATACATTTTTCGTGATTTATCAGAAGATATGCTAAACTCTGAAAATACTCGTAATATCTCCTGATAGTGTAGTCTATCTGGAAAGTTCTTGTATAAACTATGGCTTGATCCCAATTTGGGGCATTTTGGCGGTGCATACTGACACAAGGTTTGGTTGTATAATGAAATTTACTACATGTCTATTTAATTCATGTTTTATATAAATATATATATATGATAAACTAATCAGCTGAAAATAGCTGTTTGGAGAAATTCAAAAGAAGGAGCTTAATTAAGGATTTAGGGAAGAAAAGTTTTGCCTTTGAAAAGAAGAAGTCACTTTACATACTATTAGAATTTAGAAATGACTTACCCAGTGAAGAAAGGGTTAACGAACAAAAAAAGACACTTCAGAGAATTTAAGTGCTGATAAATTGCAGCTCATATTTTCTACGCGCTCGTCTGTGAAAGTGAATTTGAAAGATGAAGTGCCTGGCTAGCAACCTCTTTTTGTGTCTATCAACTTAACTGCCCCACTGGGCCACTTACACTAGCTTCTGCTCTAGAAACTGAATTTCCGATGCTCCCAAACGTCTACAGATGTGGCCAAATGAAGGTGTCATTAAATTATCAATAGTTCAAAGCTTGCGTACATGAATTAAACAGCCAGTGAAGTCAGTATTAAAGGATCCTTTCCCGTTGTCTATCGTGTACCGAATAAGTTAACTAAAGTCCCCAAGCATCTAGCAGAAGAAGCTGTAACACTTTGTTTAAAACATCTGAAACTTCCTACAAAATATAAAAACACATTCAGCCAGTATTGTTACCCAGGTCTACCCAATTCTAAATTCTGCTAAATTCTTAAATTCCGTGTTACAGAATTCCCTTTAGGAGTGACCTTTCATCCTGTGTTCATACATTTCTACACCTTTTATTGATTACTTTTGCAATACAATTCACCTGATTTACTCATTTTTATACCATGTAATTGTACCAAAAGCTTATATTTTCTTAGATAACCTTAAATTATTCACTTACGTGCAATTACAGACTTCTATTTTACTTTTCCTCTATGTTTTCGTTGTTAACAATAATTAATATTAATTTTACAATGGAACCGCATGGATTTCAATTTGAACAGGAATCGATAGGATACTTGTACTGTAATCTAGTAACAATATCCTCAAATACACACACCTCCGATTTTTTATCTTAGTGATTCGACCTTATTAAAAGCACTAGTGTGGTCAGTAGCAATCATTCTTTAAATAATATGTTATGTAGTAGTGATAATAATAGACACTCTATTGCAGGCAGTAATACAAAATGGAATTTTCATCATGTACATATTTCGATTATTTTATCCCTTATACTCCTTAATGACTGTTACAAATGGTTACTCAAAGTGGAAGATATGAAAAGGCTAGCGGTCCTTGACCACAGATATTTGCTTTCTATCTCCTATGTGAAATGGCATTATATAGCAAGCGCTGTCGGGATTATGCGTAGAGTGCTAGGTAAGGCAAGGAATTCAATCGATGAGGATGTGGAGCTACATAAACTGAGATACCTTGAATACGTGTTGCATATGCCAAGCCGCCAATTCCCTCGACGGATGATGTTAGCTTACATAGGATTAGGTCAGAAAAGAGTTAGGGGTGGTCACTTCAAAATCTGGTATCAATCCATAATCACTTTGACGGTTAGTTTGAACCAGCCACACAGTGTGATGCAGACTGCCTGGATGGATGTGGACAGCAAGTTACTATGGTCCGATAGCTGGAGATTGTTGGTGTTAAAGTTCGAAACTGTTCTCACTGGCACAGATTCATCCAGTTTTTATTATCTTCCATGTCAGTTGAACCGTAGTATTTCTCCATGTCATGGTTCTTACTTCTTGCCTTGCAATTGTTCACATTACGGTCCTTGTGAATTTTTTCTCTTGAAGTGTTGCACTTCTATGCAAAGTTCTATAATGGAAACTCAGTCAGTCGGGTAAAGTGAATGAATAGTAAATAAGTGACTGTCCGAAATAAGAGGCCATTTTCTCTTACAACACATAAAGTAGGCTTGTTAATTATTTTCTGATATTTGTTTCTGCACAGGTCACCTGTGCTAAATAAGGTAGAGCTGAGTTTTATATTTAACCTTCTGAACTAAAATTTACGTAAGACTACTTTTAGTTTTTCTTGAATGGGGTAAAGGAGAGAATAAAAGGAATTAAAAATGAAGAAATAGGTAGGATAAAGGCATTAATAAAGTGGAGAAGATTTTTAGCTCAGATGGATGGTATTGAATTAGTTGTGTTCTCTAGGCTGGTTGATTTTATCATGAAGAATTCTTCGTCCTTCTAGACATCCTCGGCGCAGGTTTTAGTATAGGATGAACTTATTTAAATTCTCCATGAATGACGTAATGGTATCTCTTGGCATCACTATCTTGACTGGTTGTTAGTTTACGTCTCTGTTGATCATCTTTATTGACTTAGAATTCGAACTTTCTTGTAATTTGATTTACTTTTTATAAGCTGGTGAATTCGGTCTATACTAATGTGTTTGTTAATCGCTGGTTGATTCGCTTGAGTACCAGACTGCAACAAATCCCCTGACTGCATTATTGGTGTTTCCTCCATTTAAAATTTCTATACTAACCCAATCAAATTGGTGTCCGTAATTATTTACACGCATTAATATGAAAGAATATACATATAATGCTTTTTTACAGCTAATTTGTGGTCGTGGATTCGGACACGAAGACGACGCCCCCTTTTGACCTATGTAATGATTATTGTAGTTCATACAATTTACTTTTTTTGTTTTTCTCCTTCACGTTCCCCAGTGGAACATAGGGCTTCAAGCTAGTGGTTTGAAGTTTCTGTAGCAGTGTTTATTTTACAGGATGGGGTTGCTAGCCTCATGCCCAACGTTTCCTCTTCACCAGCATTATTATTTCTGGCTTAGCGAGGTAAAGGAGTGCGTCTGTGGTCGGGGATCGAACTCCGGACCATGTGCATGGTCGGTGAGCATCCTAACCGCTATGCCACCGACGCACTATTTACTTTGTAAATGGCATAAATTTTATTTCCTTTTTCTGTCGGATCTTTCGGTTTGCACAATATCGAATTAAGCGATTTGACTGGTTTGTGTGCTATATCTACGTCAAACAGTTTCAGTATTCTAGCTGTTATTTCAGAGATACTTCTCTTGTATGGTAAAATAAATTTTCCTGTGGTCTTTGATGATGGTTTCTTTTTTCTGTTATGACTGGAGTTTAAACACTTTTTGATGGAATTTTGAGGATATTCATTCTCTTTGAAGATGGTAAGTAGGTACCTTTCCTCAATTTCTTCAACACCTGAGTGATACAGTGTGTCTGAACCCTTCTAACCAATGTTTGTACACACTTTCTTTTGTGAGTAATTGGGTTATTACTATTATAGTTGAGTGTTTGGTCTATGTGAGTTGATTTTCTTTATTCTTCTGTTTCTAAGCTTGCTGTGTTAACTTTCTTAATTAAGACATCTAAGAATGGAACTTTGCTTTTTAATTCTTATTCTCTTGTGAATGTAATGTCTTCAAATATGTTGTTTATTAATTTGTGGGTATATACCAAATCTTTTTATTTAGCTATTAAAAATGTATTATCAACATAACATACCCAGATTTTTGGTTCAATTATAGGTAGGGCTATTAATTCTAATCTTTGCATAACGGCTTCAGCTATCAGTCCTGATATGGGCGACCCCATTGGTGTTCTTGTTATCTGTTCATATATTTGATTGTTGAATTGGAAGTATGTTGTAAGATGTAATTCTATGAGCTATGTCCAAGTTGAACATTGCCTTTTGTGCTTTAATAATAATAATAATAATAATCACTTTACTCCACAACAATAACAATTTACAGCATGGAATTTTCAGCGTTTCATTTTACATATTGCATTGGTTTAGCTCTTTTTATAATTATATAAATGTACAAAATTTTAAAAATATTTATAGTTAATAGGAAAAATAAAAACCCTCAACAAAATACACCATTTCTAGGTCAAAGTGAATAATAAATAAATAATATAACAAATCACACATGCAATAATATGCATCATTACATTTTATAGTTTAGTTAATGATTTAAAAGTTGTAAAAGTTCTTTTCTGATATTCGTCTCTTCACACAATACCCGTGCCAAATATGGTACGGTCGAATTTTTATATTTTGTAGTACGAGCATAAATGTTTATGAAATTTCTTCTGGTCTTACCCGAAGAGATACAAGGAAACAAATGTGAATAAAGAGGATGTTCACTATCAGACAAAATAACTTTAGCTAACTGTTTACAAGAATTCATATGCCTATTGACAACAGTGTCAGTTAGTTGAGTCAAAGGGATAGCACTGACCCTACTTACAGCCCTCAATGTTCTTCGTAGTATTATATGGTCTTTCTTGAGTAGCCCAGGGAAGAATAATGGAGAACAATAAAGAATGATGGGCAAAACACATGAATTAATAAATTGTATGAGAAGAGATTGGGTTATACCTGAGTGCCTCAACTTCTTTATGTAATAAGTCAGACGGAAAACTTTCGTAGAAACTATAAGAATGTGAGACGACCAGCAAAGGTTTGAAGAGAAACTGATGCCAAGATAAGAAACACTTGACTTACTCTCTATCATGGTACCATCAATATTACAACAATCATGAGATTGGATCAATCCATGCATGTCTTTTTCACTTCTCAAGCTGAAATCAACAGTATTACATTTAGTTGGATTTAGTTTAAGACCATTTGATCCAGACCAATCCTTAACTTCAGCTAAGAAGCCATTCATATGGAAACAATCCGATGTGGAAACTACAGGGACAGAAACGGTCAGATCATCAGCATACTTAATGAAGTTAACTTTGGGTGAGTTCGGAAGGTCATCGCTATAGAGTTATGCTAGAAGACCGTAAGTAATTGGTCAAACGAAAACTTTTGAAATAAAACAGATTTAAGACGACCAGCAAAGATTAAAAGGGAAACTAATAGTGAGGTAATATTCGATTTGTTTTCTACAATAATGCCGTCGCTGTTGCAGGAATCTTGAGAGTGAGGCAGTTCACAATAATTGGACTCACACCTAGAAGTAAAATCAACCCTTTAACATTTAGAGGGTCCAGTTTAAGACCATTTGGATGCGATCACTGATTAAGTTAGGATAGGAAACTCATTATATGAATACAATCTAATTCAGAAACAAATGGAGTAGAGATTTCCAGATCCCCAGGTTATTCAGTAGAATTAGCTTTAGAAGGATGCGCAGAGTTATGTGAAAATGCTGGGAAAGAAACGAAGACAGCAAGCCACGCTGAGGTGCACCAAATTCACTGAGCAATCAAGTAGAGCGCTTTCCCAAGGAGACGGTGTACTGCAGAATCTGAAAAACAAATTATCGGAAAGAATACATTTCATCGAGCAATTAGTTTTTAATTTTTAATCAGACAATTAATAAGTCGTGTAAAAGGGATAATGAGGGTACTTCATTCAATGATGTCACCTACTGTTTCATATGTTTGGCTTTTCTTTCATTTAAAGGTTGAATCTATGGGCATTGTTACCGGAGTTGAAAACAATGTACACTTGACTAAATTGAATATACAGAACCTTAAAAATTGGTTGGCTGTCAGTGAAACAGTGCAAACGCTTAAGATAGCTCTAGAAAGGAATTTCGGATTTTTAACTACTAGTAAACCGGGTGAACAAATGGCCAGAAAAGATTATAGTGCAATTTTTTTGAAGGGTGACGATAAAAGTGCAATTGAATGGGTAAGTTATTGCTTATTCTGTACAAACAAATTTCTTGTGTGCTATCAGATTATATTTACTCATAATCTATTCATTTAGATATTGTCAAACTAAGTTTATGACAACAAGGTCTCATTAGTAGTAGAAATAATCGAAACGAGAATCCCAGGATGACACTTTTATCCTGTCAAGTTGAATGCTACTTAAAGTCACCCATCAAACTTCAGTCCTACTTACTTTGGTTTTTACTTATGTCTCTGTCTGGATTCAACATAGAACTTGGCACCGAAGTGCAGCAGTTCCAGTTGCCACGTTCCAAATAGCACACAAATGTAGACAAGAAGATGAGTGAAGAGAATCAATATAGTTTTGACAAGTATAAGAGTGAAACAGAATGAGTAATGGTAGAAAGGAATATGAAAGATTACAGAGACTGAATACATCTGCGTAAGCCATTGACAACGATTTTGAGCCATGTCGCCTATTGTCTCCAGCCATTGATTCTTAGAGTCCCGAGGGTGGGCCCCAACCCAGAAGTCTGCATCTCCCTCCCTACCTGACTCATTTTTAGTGTCAAGGATTTCATGGATTGATGAGGCCATGTTTTTGTTTGGCCACCACTTACTCTTTTCCAACCTGCACCTATATCAGCTAGTAATGCCCGTCCGTCGGGGGAGGCGATGGTTAGGCATGCGCACCACGTGACCTAGCCATCTCAATCTATGTAACTTTATTGCCTCTTCGATTGATTTTCCCTCCTTGCGCAACACTCTACGCCTAACGTCAACATTACGTACCTTATTATGCCACATCCCAACGTGAGAAAGAGATCGTAGACATCTATGATCAAAAACAGTCAACCTTTTATTTATTTTATTTTATTTTGATTTACAGCTTGATTCCACACCGTATTTTCAGTACAAGTATGGAATTTTCAGCATGGATATCGGTAGCCCAAATTCAGGCCGACCATAGATATCGGGTGTGCGCCGGCAGGGGATCGAACCCCGGACCATGTGCATGGTCTACCAGAGTCCCAACCACTGTGCCACCGACGCACATGTCTTCAACTCGTATTGGCCATGTTTCAGAGCCATATGTAACTTAATGATACCAACAGGCTGCAATGAAATACATTTGATGACATCTTGTGAAGAACGCGTAACTTTGCGGTATACTTTCTAAAGGGAACTATAATCAGAAGAGAAACATACTTTCCTTTCCTTAGTTAAACAGAGGTAGGTTTCCTTTAACATACGCTAGCTGAAGCTTCAGTGGTTAGCTGTTCACACCGGAAAACTCGTTAAATGTACGAAAAGACGATCAGGTGTATAATATCACACTATAGATAAATTCCATCAGAGTATATAAATGTGAAGCCTATTCTCTTGAAAAAGTAAATATGTAACTGATATCGCTAAGTACATGATTGCCCCTATAAATTTAATATTTATTTACATTAGGTTTTGAAACAATCTTGTGAGAGATACTTGAAACTCACGAATAGTGTTATTACGTAGAAACCATTGGGTAGGTTAGAATAGAAATGTTACACTTTATTTTTAAAACGAATTTAACAGTTATTATGCCTAACGAAATAGTTAGCATTAGAAGTGAGTCATTCTGTTTCTATAATCTCCACCCTTAAATGAAACACATCGAATTCCTTAGATAGAAGCTTCTTGAAATACTTGAAACGGAATTCATATCGCTTGAAAGAAGATTTCAAGTATTCTGTGCTTAAGACAGTAGAAAGGGGCTGTTTTAAGTGGTATTTGGATTTGAGTCCGTATGAAGATCTTACCGCCAGCTACAAACCACCTCACGATAACTCAAGTTGTACAGTATATGCGGCCTAGCCTTTCTAATTAACCTGTAGGAACATTCTTTTCAGCCAGTGTGGTTCATTATGCCGTTGCGATAAGCAAGTCTGACCACCACGAGAAGGCAGCAGCAGCTGTCTGTATCTCTTGATGATGCTCTCTTTCTCTTTAGTAATTTACTGATGATTGTAGAGTAAATTAGACAGGGTCTATAGACAACACATGCGTCAGACAGTAGGAAACGAGAAGACAGGGATATCCTGGAACGACGTGAAAAACCTAGAAGACATGGATTTCGCGTGTGGATGATTTATGTTTGATGTCACACAAGATCGAAGACTTACAAGCGAAAAGCGACCGGTAAACTGGTCGAAGAAGCAGCCAGAGAAGACAGGACTCCAGGTGAACATAGACAAGACGGAGATTATGAAAATAACCAACCAACCAACCAGCCAACAACAAGAACAACAGCAGCAGCAGCAACATCCAGCGCCAATCACCATCAACGGGAGGGATTTGAAAGAGGTCACTTCATTCACTTATCTAGGGAGGGAGCATTGTCTCAACTACAGGAGGAACGGACGGACGAGGATGTCAAATTGGGAGTTGGGAAGGCGAGAAACACATTCATCAACCTGAAACCAATCTGGAAATCTTCCGCTGTCACTCAGCATCAACAACAAAATGATTCGGATTTTCAATACAGACGTCAAGTCAGTCACTTCTTCTATACGCATTGATCAGAAACTTGGTGGGTCACAAAGAATATTTCCAACAGCCTGTTGCAGACCTTTATCAACAACTGTCTTCGCTATATACTGAAGATCAGATGGTTGGAAAGAACAAGAACCAACAAGAAACTATGGGAAGAAACAAAACAAGAACCAATCGCTCAACAAATATGCAGGAGAAAGTGGAGATGGATTGGACACTCGCTGAGGTGGCCGCTTGGTGACATCGCGCGTCAGGCCAATGCTCGAGTGGAACTCGAAAGGGAAGCGGCGAGTGGGACGTCAGTGCAAGGGTGACATGGAGGAGATCGTGTGAAGAGGAGTTGAAACAGTATGGACTAACATGGATGCAGTTGAAAAGTCCAGCAGAAGACAGAAGCAAGTGGAGACGTGCAGTTGAAGCCCTATGTTCCACTAGGAACCCAAGGGAACAATAATAATATATACTATATAGACAACACAGTGCTGCCGTCTGGTGTTACACTGAACTCAGACATCGAGTCTTTTGTTACAATGTCACTTTGTCCAAGTGAAACTATGTAAGCTATTTTCATTAGTAATTATCAAAAGTTAAAATGTGGAATTCACTGCCTTACTAATGTGCTAATCATCATATATCCTGTCTCCATAGAAGTTTCCTTGCTGGGACCGTTTTAAACAAGCTTAATTTGGCTGGCTGACGTTGATGCTAAGAGTGGCAAATTAAGATGAACCAAAAATAATAACTACAGCAAGATAATGACTACCAGTGTTTCATTAAAAGGCTCAGCCAGAAGCCAATTTGGTTAGTTTATGGGATGTCGCTGTTTTTAAACCCTGTCGCATTTGAGGTTTGAATTTCTTTTCCGGTTATTACCCATTCCATATATATACAAACTTTCTTAGGTCGGCATCATTTTATTCATTCCATTTCATATTTTCTGATATGCTATTTTTTTTTCCTTCACGTTCCGAGAGGAACACAGAGATTCAAGCTAGTGGCTTGAAGGTTCTGTAGCAATGGTGATTATTTTTACAGGATGGAGTTGCTAGCCTCATGCCTAACCTTTCCTCTTTACCAGAATTATTTCTGGTTTAGCGAGGTAAAGGAGTGCATTTGCCGGGGATCGAACCCGGGACCATGTGCATGGTCGGCGAGCGTCCTAACCGTTGTGCCACCGATGCACGATATGCTATTACGTACTGAAAATTAGTGTAATTTGCCTTTGAATTTGTCAAAATACTCATTCCACTGAAAAATCACAATGTTTAGTTATTTGCCGGATTTTTTTAGTTGAAAGGACGCTTGAAAACTGGTGGTCATCTTATTTATTCAAGAGAATCTGAAGATGGATACGTAGAATTAATTAGAGTAATTTGTATGAAGCCTGGGAAATTTGACGAAGCAGTTTCGGCTCGTATTCCATTGGTTCTGCCTGCTAAAGAAGAAGAGAAACCAACTGAAGAAGAGAAACCAACTGAAGAAGAGAAACCAACTGAAGAAGAATCGTCAATTGACCTTTAGTGAGTCTCAGTTATATATATGTGTATTGCTGTAATTCTTTATCTTTCAAATCAGTTCATAATAGTTTCACAATTATTTTGTGTAGAATGGTTACGTAACCAATGATGCATGAATGATTAGTGCTATATCTCAGTTTTCAGGTGTTACATAGTAGGCAATCTCCTATGGAAAAGGATAATTTAGGGGATTGATTTTTGATAACTGACAACAACATTCTAAAGCGAAATAGAAAAATAGACCTTGGTTTCGTTGTTTGAATGTTGGACTACTGTAGTGCAGATTTACTCTTTCCTTCTTCTCAATTACACTGTAATAGCAGTTATTATTTTTCGAATGTGATGTGATTCCACTTCTTTGGCAGATGAAATTTTTAAAATCTTAAAGAGCACTAATAACACTTTTATTGACTGATTGATTCTCACTATTTACTATCCTTAGCTCATTCAAGATGTTAGTATGAGAAATGATTCATCGCTTTTGTCATTACTCTGTGTTTTCATTTCAGCACTCTCGATTTCGACGAACTACTACTTACATCAATTCAGATAAAGCATATTCCAAATATTAAAGTAGTCCTACTGTTACTCGTCTGCACTGTTACTATCTCGTTCATCAGATTATTTTAATGAACAGTGTACCGTTCAGTGCTAAGTTTCATTGAAACCAGAATTACTCCCCAGTCTAGAGTGACACTGGAACTCGAACTCGCCGAATAACTTGTTCATTGTTATTTAACACTTCATTCCAAGTCACTAACATTCGACCCTTCTCAGATTCATCATTATCGTTCACTTACATATATATAGACCAAGGTGATACATACTTTGTTTAAGTCATTTCATTTCTTGTGCGTCCCTTGCTATTTCATCGTCAGTAACTTTGCATTAACTATATGAAGGTATTTGATATTTCGCCTTAATTACAACACTCTCTAACTGCATTACCTCACGGATACTTCTGCATATTATGTTTGTGATTGTGAGTGTACGAACGGCTTCCAGAACCTATTTTATATGCTCAAGGTTTATTTGTAGTCTTTACCTATCCAATTAACTCAGTAATATACGAGATACCATCAGCGATCTAAGTGTATTCATAAGTATTTTAACAATATGAATAAAAACAACCCAACTCAATATGTGTTAGCTAATCATTATGTTTACTTGTTTCAGACTAAGTTAAACTTTTCTGTTATTTTCCCTGCTGTAAGCAGTTTACAATGCTAGCACAGTTCAAAAAGGGTCAGAATTTAACTATAAATTTATTATCTTTCATTACTCTGTTAGTGCTTTTTGTACTGGTCAAGTTATGTAAACTTCTTAAGAATAGTCGACTCACGTAGAATCTGTTTGTATCTCTGTAACGACAGAAGGCAAGAGTCAGGCAACAGATTATTTATTAAAGGAAATCAACGCATATTTATATATGTTTTCATGTACATTACCATGGATATGTAAACAAACAAACACAGTCTTCCGATTGGTTGTTCCTCACGACAAATCTTGGGAACGTAAATATTGACGTAAATTACTGTCTACCAATTTGGCTAGTAGACAGCTCTCACCACATCTCTACTTAATTTTCTCCTCTGAGTCTTATGTTCACACGGACCAAATAAGCCTCAGAATAATTTTACAAGTAATGTTGGAACATGTAGGAAATCGATTTTCAGCCAATGAATTCTTGCGAAATGTGTGCACTACTAACTGACATGAGTAGTTTAGAAGTAAGCATAGGAATCGAATTCATGCTGACCAGTGGTCTGATTGACTGGTCTGGTTGACTTACTGACTGAGTTTCAACAAAGAAGTCTGAAGACAAATGCAGCAGTTCAACTTGCCACACTTCATGTAGCACACAAAGGTAAAGAAAAGAGAGGGAAAAATATAATTAGAAAGGGCTATAATTATCACAACCATCCAGGAAGAAGAATACAAACATAGAAGAACTTGAGGGTTTAATAGTAGTGGGAGGTTACAGTCAGTGAACGAATTGGCCTCAATGAGAACGGTTTTGAACCATGATACCAATAGTCTCTAACCATTGGTTCCTAGCATACTGAGGTTTCCAGCCAGGTAGTCCACATCTCACTACATGGCTAGCTCAAAACGATTGTCATAGAGTTCACGGATTGATGCCAGGTTTCGACTGACCATCCCCAAGTATTTTTTAGTCTCATTCTAATCAGCTAAGATTGTTATTCAAGAAAAGTGATGGCTCAGCATAAGCAACACATATTCTAGCCATGTCAGTCGATTCACTTTCACAACATCATCGACTGATTTGCCCTTCCTTACCTGGGACTCTACGCCTAACCACAGTATTACTCACCATATTGTTCCACTTAGCAAGGGTGATAGGATGCAAGGGCATGTAATTTTTTCATATCCTCTACTTTCAATGGCCATGTCTCACAGCCATAAAGGACGACATAGTGAAGTGCTCAAACAAATAAATCATTCCCATTCATCGAGTTATGGGTAACTACTTGAGGGAAATACAAAAAGCCGAGTAAAGTTTTGTGGGATATACAGTTCGATTGAGAAGCTCATAATGCTTTCTTTGGAAAATGGAAAGCACTCAGATCAGAATATTTTAATCGCTTGAAACTGAAAGTGACATCCTTAATGTAAGTGTAAAGTCTCTCCAGTAATACCTATAACCTGACTCGCTAACCTACTTTGATTTATTTGGTGTTTTATTTATATATTCATTCATCCATCCAGACTAATAGACTAACGCATATACCACTGCAGATTCAATTACGAAAACGCTGATTGTAGTTTATGTACATCCTAACTGTCATTATATTCAGTGTGAAACTAGAGATAACTTTTTAACCAACTTCTGTATTCTTAGAATAGCACATGACGAAGATTGGCTAATTAACTCACAAAACTATTTGAAATCTTTGTATAACGAACATATTCATGCTGCATATATGCATGGAAGAGAAACAGTAACGAGGTGAATGGCAGTCAGTATATGATGGCTGTTTATGGAATATCAGGAACTCTTGCAATTGGCAAAGTGTGTACTTGGTGTATTTCAGTACTACGGTGTGAGTGAGATATTGTAACGACAGCTGGCAAGACACGGAAGCCAAGGTCCATTATCATTGATCAAACCGCTGTTTACATGTATATATATTAGTTTATATTCTTTGATCAATCACTGAGCGAGTGTTTTTGCTTTACAGCAAACGAAATGAAAGTAGAATGCTCAAATAAACTTAGAATTCTGTTGCTAATGCCTAAGTGAACTGTGGGAATATGTGAGAATAATATTTCGTTGGCACGCATTTTCTGTATCACACCACCACAATATGACTGTGGAATATTATTATTATTATTGTTTCCTTTAATTCCTAGAGGAACATAGGGCTTCAGCCGTGCGTCTCCATTGCGTTCGGTCCTCTGCTAGAGTCTTCACCTGGCTCCATGTCTGTCCACACGTTTTCATCTCCTCTTCACATGACCTCCTCCAAGTCACCCTTGCACTGACGACCAGCTCGCCGCCTCCCTTTCGGGTTCCACTCGAGCAATGGCTTGTCTAGTGATGTCACTTGATGAAGTTGAGATAGAGAGGTGACTGCCATTCCAAGCTTTGTTCAGTGATGATCCGTAATGTGGCGATCTGATCAATGCATGACTTGTTTCTCCTGAATCCAGCCTGTTCCGGTCGAAGTTTTTCATCCAGGTTGGCATGTTTGATTCTCTCCAGGATGATGCGGCTTAATATTTCGCTTGGGATGGACAGGAGCATAATTCCGCGCCAGTTCTTGCATTGACTTAAGTCTCCTTCTTTCTTTGGTAGTTTGAATAAGTATCCTTTCTTCCAATCCTCGGGTACTTTGCCTTCTTCCCACACCTTCTCAAGTAGTGGCGTCATCAAGTCCGCCGTTGTCTCTGGGTCTATATTAACCTTGTGACGATTAATTGTCATATATGATTCACAGAATCTTTTAGTTCGAGGACGAATAATGTGTCACTGTGTATAAAATATCAGTAATTGATTTCTCAGTTTCTGTTTAGATCATCGCTTAGTTAAGTAAGTTTCCACGGATTATAATTTGACAATTTGACATATCAGATGATACTGTGGTACTTTTTCACCCTTATCATCAATATGATGAGAGGAATGCGATTGTATTTTAATCAAATAAAAGATGTTGCTTCATAATATTGGAGACAATGTGAGCAAATGAATTCCAGGACCTTTGTCAAAGCAAAAAATAACAAGAATTGTAGTATAAGCTGTGCATATTTCACTATTTTCATGCTTCTTTTCAACTGCAGACAGCCTACATATTATAATTAACAAAGTGAGAATACACCATTTTATTATTACTCTGTTATCAGCGTATTTTGCATAACATCATAGTTGATGTGGTTGTTTCTCTGAGCTGGATGTTAATTTGGAAGCTTCAACCTATAACATCTTCAGCGCTACTTCAATTTGAAGTGAGCTTTTTAGATTTCTCCACGAGTTTATTAATCATCTCTCCCGGTGACCTTGGATGTGATTGGTTGTTTTTGTGCGTTTTCACACCTTCTAGGCTACTTGTATTGGAATTGGTTGTTTCTTTGACTTGAACTTTGACCCTTTGTGTGTGAGGTTTCTTTCTTATCGGTTGATAAATTTTGTCACTTCAACGAATTGAAGTATGCGCTGAAGATGTCACCTAGTAGGGTGATGAAAGCTTCGCAAATTAACCATCCAGCTCAGAGAACACAACCACATCAAAATCATCCATCTAAGCTACAAATGTTCTCCATCACATTAACCGTCATAGTTTGAATAAACAATACAAAAAATGCTGAATGACAGTTTGAAGATGACTTCCCACTTAATAAGTAATTGACAACAAATTGATACTAATCGTATTTATTTCTTCAACAATATCAATTTAATGCGTGAATATCCAGTACAGATGATTTACAAACTTACCTTCTAGTGAATCGATTCAACAACAACAGTAGACAAAGTGAATGAACACC